CATGATTTTATACACCTGGAAAAACCTAAGGGACAGTACCGAACTTTCCACGAAAAACACTCCTTTCGAAAGCAAAAAACTTGGCAACGATGCAACCATCCCCCCAAGAAAGCAGGGGGTCACTAGCACTTAAGAGACCATCAATAATGCAGGGGCCCGAGACTGTTCACGCCTCCCAGCACACATAAGGGGGGTTCCAAAAGACCCCCCGGGATCTTCAAGCTGGCACGACAAGCACCTAAGCAGTCCCGATCACCAGGGGTGTGGGTCGTACTTGGTTTCTGCAGCCCAGCAGCACAGCCTGGTTGATCAGGGGCGATCCACCAGGAGGGCCCGGGCACAGACCGGGGGCCGGGGGGGTTGCCCCCCCAAACTTCTCCAGGGAAACCCATAAACCTTATATGAAACTGTGGGCTGCTTTAGTTTAGTTCTTAGTATAAGTTTAATCTACGGGGGGAAAGTGGAGTTTTCTTTTGTTAATATAATGGGAAAGTTTTATGCTTACAAATTTTCTACATGTAAACAGTATTGCGTTTTTTTTAATAAAATTATAAAAAAAAAAAAGATTTAGAAGGGGGGCTTTCCCTATATGTCTGTGTCCTGTCTGTTCCACTTTTTGCTGCTTCTGTCTTTTCCCGTGCACTCTTTCCCGCCTGTACCCCCTCCCCCCCGTGCACTACCCTGCCCCTTCTTAATCACTCCTGCCCACGTCTTCCCTGTACGCTGAGCTGGTGTTATAACCTCCTCATCCGACGAGCCTCCAGCCCTCTTTCTAGATGTGCCCTCAATTTCCATATCAGTATTTCCATTGCCCTTGTGCACCTCAGCTTCCACCTGTAGCAACTGCAACATGCCAGGCTCTGACCCCAGAGGCTCTGGAATCTGCTCAATCAAGTCCTTCTCAACCATCAGAATTCTCCTGTCTGTAGATGGGTTCTCCTCCGCAGGCACGTCCAGGAAAGACTTAATCATCTCCTGTAGGGGCGTAGATAACTCCTGTGGATCACCGGTCTCACCCACCCCCACAGGCTGCTGCTCAACTCCCGGGCCCGTTTGCGGGTCCGAAGCCACTGGTAGTGTCACACAATTCTCTAACACGCCCTCCACTTCGTCCGCCCAATTACCTTTGCCTGCTGCACTCAAAGTCTTCGGCAGAGGTTCCGCCGGAGACTGTGACTACTTGCCGTTCCCAAGGCTGCGGCGCTGCTGCTTTACCACATCCGGCCGCAATGTGGTCAAAAGCGCCGCACAGGCGACACGTCTTTCATTGTCCCGCGTAGGTCACGTACAGCTGTGTCCTAAAATCCTCCAGGACAACATACGATGGAATAGGTCTTCTTAAAGACATCTTGACGATGTAAGATCCAGCCGGCAACCCTTCATAGATTCCCTCCGTCCATGTAACTAAAGTTATAGCATGCACCTCACCATATCTTTGAAATGTCTCTCTGATATCTACATCATCTGCCTCGAAAGGAACGTTGCGGATCCTCACCCAGGTGTATTATTTTGAGGCATCCCGCAGGCGTACCTTCAGTCCCTGACTTTCACTTGGCTGATTTCATAGGACTGAAAAATTACTTAGGTGGGCTGAACTGGAATGACCTGACTAAGGGTCAGGTAGGTGGTGATGGTTGCCGATATGATGCTTTCCAGGGCATAGTTCTAGCTGCTCAGTCAAATTATGTTCCAAATAGGGAAATCAGATCAAACAAAAATGATCATAAATGGATGAACAATAGATTAAAATATCTGACTGGTCAAAAGAGAGGCATATATAGGCAAATCAAAAGAGGAGAGGGGCAATTAAGAAATCGATACATTCAGTTACAGAGAGAAATAAAAAAGGGAATTAGAAAAGCAAAAAGAGATTATGAGGTAAAAGTTGCAAGAGAATCGAAGACTAATCCAAAAGGATTCTTTCAGGTATACAGAAGTAAGATCAGGGACAAGATAGGCCCACTCAAAAGTTCCTCGGGTCAGCTCACTGACAGTGATAAGGAAATGTGTAGAATTTGTAACACATACTTCCTCTCAGTTTTTACACAGGAGGATACCAGCGATATTCCAGTAATGATAAATTATGTAGAACAGGACGAGAATAAACTGTGCACGATTAGTGTCACAAGTGACATGGTCCTTAGGCAAATAGATAAATTAAAACCTAACAAATCCCCAGGCCCTGATGAACTGTATGCAAGGGTTCTAAAGGAATGTAAAGAGGAGCTTAGCACACCTTTGGCTAATCTTTTCAACATATCACTACAAACGGGCATGGTGCCAGATAAGTGGAAAATGGCAAATGTGATACCTATTTTCAAAACAGGTGACAGGTCCTTAGCTTCGAACTATAGACCAATAAGCCTAACCTCCATAGTGGGAAAATTTATGGAATCAATAATTGCCGTGGCAGTTCGTAGCCATCTTGAAAAGCATAAATTAATCAACGAATCTCAGCATGGTTTTACAAAGGGGCGTTCCTGCCTTACGAATTTATTAACTTTTTTCACTAAGGTATTTGAGGAGGTAGATCATGGTAATGAATATGATATTGTGTATATAGACTTCAGTAAGGCTTTTGACAGAGTTCCACATCAGAGACTATTGAGGAAAATTAAAGCACATGGAATAGGAGGAGAAATTTTTTCCTGGATAGAGGCATGGTTGACAAATAGGCAGCAGAGAGTTTGCATAAATGGGGAGAAATCAGAGTGGGGAAGCGTTACGAGCGGTGTTCCACAGGGGTCAGTGTTGGGCCCCCTGCTGTTCACAATCTACATAAACGACATAGATGAGGGCATAAAGAGCGACATCGGCAAGTTTGCCGATGACACCAAAATAGGCCGTCGAATTCATTCTGACGAGGACATTCGAGCACTCCAGGAAGATTTGAATAGACTGATGCAGTGGTCGGAGAAGTGGCAGATGCAGTTTAATATAGACAAATGCAAAGTTCTAAATTTTGGACAGGACAATAACCATGCCAAAAAAAATAATTAAACAAAAAATTTAATCGGTTAGATTTAAAAAATTAAATTTACGGTTGCCGGAAAAAAGATTTAGGATTTCCTGGTTGTCTAATCTAACCCAAAACCGGTGAAAGGGTTTAAAAAAGCTAATAGTTTGGCCCATTTAAAAGAAGATATAAATTTTGGAGTCCAGGGGTTTGACAAACCCTTATACTTTCCTTGGTTAAAAAGGCCCTATTTTAAAAATTTATTAATTTTGGGGAACCGTATAAACGGAGGATTATAACACGCTGGAAAATTACAAAGGGGATGGAGTGACCAAATTTAAAAAACCCTTACCAGAAAACCTTTCCCCGGGGGGGAGGATAGATAAAAAAAAAGGCGCTAAGCCACCTTCCAAGAAAGACGTAGAATTATTATTAAAAATAAAAGAAAAAAAAGGTTGGGGGCGAAAATATACAAGCTGAAAGGAATTTGAAAATTAGTTGGGGATATGGATGAGGTTTGTATAATTGGGAAGAAGGAAATTAAATAAAAGGGGGAAAGGCTAAACCGAATATACAGCCTGGGATGTGAAATCTTTTTTAATTGGAAAATCAGATCGGAAAGGGATATTAAAATCGGTTGGAAATGAGGGTGGATGAGTGGAACAAACTCCCGAGTACAGTTATAGAGGCCAGAACGTGTTTTGCTTTAAAAATAGGTTGGATAAATACATGAGTGGATGTGGGTGGGTGTGAGTTGGACCTGATAGCTTGTGCTACCAGGTCGGTTGCCGTGTTCCTCCCTTAAGCCAATGTGACCTGACCTGACTAGGTTGGGTGCATTGGCTTAAGCCGGTAGGAGACTTGGACCTGCCTCGCATGGGCCAGTAGGCCTTCTGCAGTGTTCCTTCGTTCTTATGTTCTTATGATACGGTGATGTTCTGGTACTGAGTCACCGTCCTTTCATACGCCTCCACTGTGCAGAACTTTATGAAGATTCGTGATGATCCATTAAGTGCTATTCCGTGTAATTCTTCAACTTCAATGCCAAACGTGTCCCGTATAATCGTTGGCAATAAAACAGAGGCATTCGTAGGGTAAATTGCCCCTTTAACAAGGTCAACACACACGGTGTTGCCCCTCCTGCGGTAGCTGGCAGCCATCTTGGTGAAAACAGGAAGTTGCGCACCAGAGAAAGCAGGAGCTGTTTGCGCAGTGCGTCCACTCTGCCCGAAAGCGAAGAGGACAATGGCACTCAGTGTGTGATGTAATTGCGTTGCCTACCAGGCCACGAGACACCCTTGTAGCTTAGTGGTAGAACATTCGTCTTACAACCCAAGGACCCGGGTTAAAGCACGGGAGAGGGTGGCATGTGTCTGGCTGGGTTATCCTGGGTTATTAACCTTCAAGTTAACTCACTATATATGGATGTTATACTAACAAGGTATTATCTTCTATATAATCATCTGGGCATATATACCACGATGGATTATTATATAATTAAGTTTGATAAAATAATATAGAGCTTGTCACAAACATTGTTAACCTGACAACATGAAAGAAATATTAATTTTTGAAGTTAATCATACAAGTGTGAGGCAGTTTTTGTGAAGGGGCATTCAAAATATTGTATGACTTGTTCATACGGATTTATGAATAAAAAATAATAATAGTAATTAGATGTGCAAATTAACCACAATAAACATTTATTAAAATTCTTAAAATATTGAAAATATTTTTTTGACGGGTTTTAAAAATAATGAAGGTCAAATGTGCGTCCAAAATACAAACGATGTTAAAATGTATGTAGATATTTAAAAATCGGTTATAGGCATGGAATTAAACTCTAATTAGATGGTGTGATAATATGTATATTACTAGGCTATTTTAATAGAGTGGATATATTTATGCATAGATGAGAGTTATATGGTTGTGTGATGTCAAGGCTGGCAAGGCGGCCTGTGATTGTGGGAAATTTGAACCATAGTTTTGCTGTTATTTGGTGAGGCAACGGTGAAGTACTGCTGCTGATATACTGCCTGATATACTCTGCCTGGTATACTGCCTGGTATACTGTCTGGCGAGTCCATACTGTCTGGCGAGTCCATACTGCCTGATATACTGTCTGGTATACTGCCTGGTATACTGCCTGGTATACTGTCTGGCGAGTCTATACTGTCTGGCGAGTCCATACTGCCTGATATACTGTCTGGTATACTGTGGCGAGTCCATACTGCCTGATATACTGTCTGGTATACTGCCTGGTATACTGTCTGGCGAGTCTATACTGTCTGGTGAGTCCATACTGCCTGATATACTGTCTGGTGAGTCCATACTGCCTGATACACTGTCTGGTGAGTCCATACTGCCTGATACACTGTCTGGTGAGTCCATACTGCCTGATATACTGTCTGGTGAGTCCATACTGCCTGATATACTGTCTGGTGAGTCCATACTGCCTGATACACTGTCTGGTGAGTCCATACTGCCTGATATACTGTCTGGTGAGTCCATACTGCCTGATATACTGTCTGGTGAGTCCATACTGCCTGATATACTGTCTGGTGAGTCCATACTGCCTGATATACTGTCTGGTGAGTCCATACTGCCTGATATACTGTCTGGTGAGTCCATACTGCCTGATATACTGTCTGGTGAGTCCATACTGCCTGATATACTGTCTGGTGAGTCCATACTGCCTGATATACTGTCTGGTGAGTCCATACTGCCTGATATACTGTCTGGTGAGTCCATACTGCCTGATACACTGTCTGGTGAGTCCATACTGCCTGATATACTGTCTGGCGAGTCCATACTGTCTGGCGAGTCCATACTGCCTGATACACTGTCTGGTGAGTCCATACTGCCTGATATACTGTCTGGCGAGTCCATACTGTCTGGCGAGTCCATACTGCCTGATATACTGTCTGGTGAGTCCATACTGCCTGATATACTGTCTGGCGAGTCCATACTGCCTGATACTGTCTGGTGAGTCCATACTGCCTGATACACTGTCTGGTGAGTCCATACTGCCTGATACACTGTCTGGTGAGTCCATACTGTCTGATACACTGTCTGGTGAGTCCATACTGCCTGATACACTGTCTGGTGAGTCCATACTGTCCTGATACACTGTCTGGTGAGTCCATACTGCCTGATACACTGTCTGGTGAGTCCATACTGTCCTGATACACTGTCTGGTGAGTCCATACTGTCTGATACACTGTCTGGTGAGTCCATACTGTCTGATACACTGTCTGGTGAGTCCATACTGTCTGATACACTGTCTGGTGAGTCCATACTGTCTGATCACTGTCTGGTGAGTCCATACTGTCTGATACATGTCTGGTGAGTCCATACTGCTGATACACTGTCTGGTGAGTCCATACTGCCTGATACACTGTCTGGTGAGTCCATACTGTCTGATACACTGTCTGGTGAGTCCATACTGTCTGATACTGTCTGGTGAGTCCATACTGTCTGATACACTGTCTGGTGAGTCCATACTGTCTGATACACTGTCTGGTGAGTCCATACTGTCTGATACACTGTCTGGTGAGTCCATACTGCCTGATACACTGTCTGGTGAGTCCATACTGCCTGATACACTGTCTGGTGAGTTATCTGGTGTGTTGGTGATGGTTGTTAGAGGCGCCAGCAGTGTGTCCTGTTATTACCTCAGAGAACCTTCCTTCACGCTCTTCATCCAAGGGGAGACTTCTCTCACCGTCTCATTATCCTCAAGTGATATATAACATCTGACTTACTTACTTCCACCTTAAATAATAAAAAATAGTTATAATAAGTCTTTTGATAAGTACTGGCAGCAAAGTTAAGTTTAGTTAGAGGTACACAGTAGTACAGTTATAGTAACTACCCGAGATAAACTATCAGACTTAATGTGTGGCCAGCGCTGTGTGGCCAGCGCTGTCACCTGACAACTGATAACTTTGTTGCAACACTTAGGTAGATTTTAGTCTTTCTCCTATACAGTATTTTAATTTAATTTGTTAAGCACTAAACCCACGTGAGTCACTTGGCACAAGACGTGTGGTGGAGGCCTGATTCTCAGTGTTGAGTGCCTGTTTGTACTGGCAGTAAGCTTCTTCAGTCGAGTACAGAAGAGTTATCAGATGCAGTAGATATGTGAAGATGATGTAATCAGTCCATCACCCTTGAAGACTTAGTTTTGAGGTGGTCAGTCCCTCAGCCTAGAGAAGTTTTGTTACATAATCTGGAACAATGTGAAGGTGAAGCAAAAGTATGAAGGCTAACGTACTTATATCTGACAATTTCTAGGCAGGTGGTGATTGGAACAACCCCAGTGGAAGTAAACCATATGTTTTGACTTGAATTATCATAGGTTAAATCTTTATAATGTACTAGAATTGTTTACCTAAAATATCTGCTCTTATCCATTGTTGGTTCAGTTGTGGTTGTCATCTTAAGACCCTGGTTGACCAGCAGTATGTGCCTTGGTATTGCCAGATGGTTGTGGGTCTTTCCTCTTGGGCAAGAGGATGGAAAGACCCCAGTGGGAAAACAATGTAGTGGCTCACTTGAGTTGTGTTGGTCTGCTAATTTTTCTAGTTGATCCAAATAAAATGTCCTGTGTAAAAGTGCCAGTGATCTTGCACTTTGTCAGCTTGTTCATTAGTCAGAACTATTTTCCTATTTGGTGAATTATTTTTAAGATCACTGATGTCAAGCAAGTCGGTGTTTTCCCCGCCAAGAACTTTAATAATAATAATTAATAATATCTTTATTTTTACAAGTACATGTACAAGGTGTACAGGCCTAGCTGACATCATTGACACTACTACAGTGGACCCCCGCATAGCGACCTTAATCCGTGCAAGAGGGCTGGTTGTTATGCGAAATGTTCGGTATGCGAATGAATTTTCCCCATAAGAAATAATGGAAATCAAATTAATCCGTGCAAGACACCCAAAAGTATGAAAAAAAATTTTTTACCACATGAAATATACATTTTCCTACACACAAAGAGAAGGATACATGCACAATAGTAGAGTAGTACATGCACAATATATATTGTGCATGTACTACTCTACTAAATGAAGAATAAATGACACTTACCTTTATTGAAGATGCAGCAATGACTGATGAGACAGTGTCCTGGGAGTGCCTTTTCCTCCTGAGTACTGTAGGTCCTGTTTGGTATTTTCTTCCAGAACAGGCCTTATCACACTGTGTATGCCACTACGATTCTTAAATCTCTCAAACCAACCTTTGCTGGCTCTAAATTCACCAATATGAGCACTAGTTCCAGGCATTTTTCCCTGTTCACCTGGGTGTTAGTCGACTGGTGTGGGTTGCATCCTGGGAGACAAGATTAAGGACCCCAATGGAAATAAGTTACAGTCTTCGATGACACTGACTTTTTTGGGTTATCCTGGGTGGCAAATCCTCTGGGGTTAATTGTTTCTTGGTATTCTCAATAAGCCACACCAACAACGGTGGTACAGCAGCAGCAGCAGCTGACGGTGGTACAGCAGCAACAGATGATGCTACAGCAGCAACAGACGATGCTACAGCAGCAGCAGCAGCTGACGGTGGTACAGCAGCAACAGACGATGCTACAGCAGCAACAGACGATGCTACAGCAGCAACAGACGATGCTACAGCAGCAACAGACGATGCTACAGCAGCAGCAGACGATGCTACAGCAGCAGCAGACGATGCTACAGCAGCAGCAGACGATGCTACAGCAGCAGCAGACGATGCTACAGCAGCAACTGACGATGTTGCAGCAGCAGCAGCAGACGATGCTACAACAGCAGCAGCAGCTGACGGTGGTACAGCAGCAACAGACGTGGTACAGCAGCAACAGACGATGCTACAGCAGAAAGCAGACGATGCTACAGCGCAGCAGAGACGATGCTACAGCAGCAGCAGACGATGCTACAGCAGCAGCAGACGATGCTACAGCAGCAGCAGACGATGCTACAGCAGCAGCAGACGATGCTACAGCAGCAGCAGACGATGCTACAGCAGCAGCAGACGATGCTACAGCAGCAGCAGACGATGCTACAGCAGCAGCAGACGATGCTACAGCAGCAGCAGACGATGCTACAGCAGCAGCAGACGATGCTACAGCAGCAGCAGACGATGCTACAGCAGCAGCAGACGATGCTACAGCAGCAGCAGACGATGCTACAGCAGCAGCAGACGATGCTACAGCAGCAGCAGACGATGCTACAGCAGCAGCACAGACGATGCTACAGCAGCAGCAGACGATGCTACAGCAGCAGCAGACGATGCTACAGCAGCAGCAGACGATGCTACAGCAGCAGCAGACGATGCTACAGCAGCAGCAGACGATGCTACAGCAGCAGCAGACGATGCTACAGCAGCAGCAGACGATGCTACAGCAGCAGCAGACGATGCTACAGCAGCAGCAGCAGCTGACGATGCTACAGCAGCAGCAGCAGCTGAAAGTGCAGCAGCAGCTGACAGTGCAGCAGCAGCTGACGGTGGTACAGCAGCAGCAGCAGCAGCTGTACCACCAATAGTAGCGATGGTTGATTGGGGTTTATTATACAACCTGGCCAGCTCGGAGACACGCACTCCACTTTCATACTTATCAATGATCTTTTTCTTCATCTCCATAGTAATTCTCACCCTTATTGCTGTAGGGTTGGCACTAGAAGCTTTCTTGGGGCCCATGGTCACTTATTTTCCAGAAAAAATCACCAAAAACACTGTAATAATACGAAATGTTCCGATTGTATGCTTGGATGTTACCGCGGAGACTGGCTGGTAAACAATGCCACCGGCGGAACATGCGAGCGTGGCTCAGGCCGCACATTGGACGCGTCTTGGACGAAGGGCGGTGAGCGGGTTTTTGGGCGGTATGCGAGGCAAAATTTTTGCGATTAAAGCTTCCGGTATGCGGATTGTACGGTATGCGATGCGTCCGGTATGCGGGGGTCCACTGTATATAGAAAACCCCTTGTTTTACAGAGCATTTCTGGCAAATTAGGTCAGTTTTATCCCAGGATGGGACCCACACCAGTCGACTAACACCCAGGTACCCATTTTACTGATGGGGAACATAGTTGGTGCAAGGAAACATACCCGATGTTTCTACCCTCACTGGGAATCGACCCTGGACCCTTCCCGTGTGAAGCAAGAGCTTTAGCCACCAGGCCACAGGGCATCGAGGAAATTAACTTGACAAGGCCCCTGGTGACCAAAACATTCTTAAAAAAAAACAAAAAAAGTGCCAGTAAGTTGGATGTATCCCTTCAATATTATTAAAAATAAATAATTTTGGTTATTGATAAAATTCCCTGGTCCCCATTAAGCACTGTGATCAAAATCGTCCAAAATTGATGTGGTTTTACGCATAAATTCTAGCGCCGTCAAATCTCGCGGGAAAAGGCTGGTAGGCCTAGATGTAAGAGAATGGGTCTGTGTGGTGGGTGTGTGCAGTAGGAAAAAAATCTGGGACCCAGTGGTGCATTGTGGGAACGCCATCTTTGTACACAATGTCCACCATGCCTCGCGGTAAGAAGTTCCTCACTCCTCGGAGAATTGGGACACTTTTGTTCCCCAGTGACAGTTCTAATACAGATGGAAGTGCCAGTGAAGATGAGTTTCAAGGTTTTGACCGAAACTAATGACCATAATATCGGTAATAGTGAGGAAACCTAGACGACCCTCAGCCTTCCACCTCTGGTGCTGGGCCGTCTTGTTCACGTTCAGTTGTACCAGAATCAGAGTTAACTCCTATTTTCCCAAATCATGGACTCGGATGTGAGCATTTATGATAGTGATAGTGATTATGAACTACAAGCTCTTCAGACTAGTTCCAGTAGTGATAGTGAAGTGCAGTATTCCCCAGTGAAGCGTCAGTATATACGACGATATATGCACTCTGGTAGTGTGCCATATGCTATTCCAAGGGGAAGGAGTACATCTCTGAGCACATCCCATGGCTGTACAACAGGAACTGACAGTGAAAATGACGATAGTGTTGCAATTGGGATGGAAAATGTGCATGGTGGTAGTGGTGGTGCCGGCCGTGAGGCACCAGCAATGGGCCATGCTGCCACCCACGCTGCTGCCTCAGCTGATCTACAACAAAGGCCACCATCCCCCACCCACCCACCACACCAGCCTCCACAACCACCTGTCATTGTCCAGTACCCACCAGCAGACCGCACCTGGGATTGGCAGGAAGCTGTCAATTTTGTTCCAAATCCCCACCAGTTTGATGACAGCCAAAGTGGAATACGGCCATGTTGTACACTGGGAAACAATGCCGCTGAACTGGAATGTTTCGAGTTATTCTTTGACGAACCCTCTGATGGAAAGTATTGTCATGGAAAGCAACACATACGAGTACACCATGGCAAACACAATACTTTCACCAAAATCACGTCTACACCAGTGGAAGGAGACAACTATGGCTTTCTTTGGGGCCATAAACAAGTGGCAAAAACAATGGATTATTACGAAATGTTTCAGTATGACCTGGCAGGATATTTTTACTCGCCGAGAAACAACGCTACACTGGCTGAGAATGGTGTGGGAGGCAGCTTTGTCTGTGCGCTCGGCACTGGACAGGTTCCATATGATCGACGAAAATGGAACCAAAAAAATAGACGAAAAGAGTCAGCCAAAAATGAAATCGGCGATGACGGAGATCAACGAAAATGAAGGGTCCACTGTACTATAAGAATGTAGCCAGTACCATAAAAATTAGCCAGTTATTGCTGATACTGATGCCTACTAAATTTTAGGCTGAAAATTATCTGCTACAATTGATGTTGGGACATCCCTAGTATCTTATGTTAGGGCCCCTAATTGTGTATGTGTAGAAATTTGTGGATTAGACAACAATGAAGCAGTATTAGAACTATATTAGTTTGGCTGTTGTGCAGGAGACTGTATTTTTGTGTTGCCCCTTTTTCTGTATAAACCAAACTGAAATTGGAAGAGACTTTGGGCAGCCTGTATATACAGCCTCTCCTCACTTAGTGACAACTAGTTTACTGACAACTCGGACTTATGATGGGCTCTGACCAGTATGCATACCTAAATAATATATATTAGAGCAGATTTCCTTTATTGTTTTACAATATACAGTCCACTACTGTATAAACATTTAAAAACATAACAGAATTGTTATAAATGATGCAGAGGTGATATTAAAACAATATAAAAAATGGTCAATACACACCCACTACTCTTATAGTATGCTCCTCACTTAGCAATGAGTTTTACTGATGTGGTCTTAGGAATGGAACTCTGTTGTTAATTGAGGAGAGGTTGTATTTAATTTAGGTGATTATTCTGGATTTAACTTGCTTTTTAAGCAATGCAAGGTGCCCTGTAGCTTGATTGCTAGCACTTTAAGCTCGTGCATTGAGGTCTGTGGTTCGATCTTCAGTACGGGTGGAAACATTAGAACGTGTTTCCTAAAGACGCCTGCTGTCCCTGTTCACCTATTGGTAAATTAGGAACCTGGTGTTAGTTGACTGGTGTGGGTTGCATCCCAGGACAAAATTGACCTAATTTGCCCAAAATGCTCCGCATGACAAGGGGCTTTCTATATATAGTAGTATGTCATTGATGTCAGCTAGGTCTTGTCCATGTACTTGTGGAAATAAGTTATTATTAAAGCTAGAGAGCATGTCACTTTTTATCTCCTAAGAATATGATTGTCACCACAAAACTAAATTTGTGTTCCAGTTGCATATACACTACTAGAAAGTCTGTCACTTGTACATTATTTATTCTGGCACTGTTTGTGATACTGTCATTTCAGATTTGACTATGGCGAATGCTACTACAGATGATTTGTACGAGTACGATGCTCCAAAGCTTTACTTTGACTTTAACGAACGAGAGAATATTGAGGTTGACGAGTCTTATTTTGGTAAGTTTCTATTTTTTCTTACATATGTATTCAGTAAATATTTAATGATTTGACACTTTCCTTGTACATACTATAGATGGTGTTGGGAGAAAGTGTGTAAAATGTTTGTGCTAGAAATTCAAAAATTATTGGAGCCATTTCAAAAAATACTATTGAATGGGAAGACGGGTATAGTACTAGCCAGGAGCCTAGAAAGAGTTGGTGAAATGCTTGGAATTGTTTAAGGAAAGTTCAGTAAATTGCATAAATTTTCACCAGTAGGCTACATATTGGCTCTGCTCATTTTATTTGGTCATTTAGAGAACAATTAAGAAGTAAGACTTTTGAATAATTATTTGAGAAGGATTTAATGTATACCATGTAATTCCAAGTTACACACAAAACCAGTTATGCATTGCATAATTAGTGGCTTTATTGTGTCTTCCAATGTTTTATTACATGTCAGCTGGCTACCATACCTCCCACGCCTGATTTCCTACAAATAAATGACTCGCCTCTCACCCTACATTAAGACTACAAATATTTTAAGGTAAGTGCAGTGGAACCTCCGTTTTTGTCTTTAATTCGTGCCAGAGACTGACAAAAACCAAATTTGACAAACTGAAGCAATATTTCCCATAAGAAATAATGTAAATCCAATTAATCCATTCCAGACACCCAAAAATATTAACAAAAAATACATTTTATAAAGAACTATAGTTTAACACAGAAAACAATGAAATAAATATAAACCACGAATGAAATGGATAAATGAGCATTTAAATCACTTTTACCTTTATGGAAAACTCGTGTTGGTGTGTGGAAGATGGTGAGGAGGGGAGAGGGAGGAGAGGTTATCTCTACCATCACTACCACCCTCTACTACCATTGAATTCTATCGTGTTTCTCGCCTTCTTCATCAAAGGCTGGCACTCTGAACTTTCTTTGGCCCCATGGTGGCTTATTTAGCAGTTGCACTCAATAAACAAGCACAAAATCAATGGATTACTATTATGAAATGTTTTGTATGATTGTGCAGGGTAATGTTCACTCCATGAGAAATAAAGCCAGACTGACTCAATGTGTGCGTGGGATGGTTTGTGTGGGCACAGGAAGACCGACACGTTCGGTATGGCAGATAAAAACAGAGGTTATCGAAAACTGGGACTATTTTGACCGTCATCGAAAACTGAATTTGACAAAACCCAGGGCAAACGAAAACAAGAGGTTCCACTGTAATAGGTGTACTGTGTGTATTTTATTTTAGTTTTTAATGCCTAATTCTGTTGCTAACTTAATACGTATATGTTAGTGTAAACTTATCTGGCATTAAATACAGGTCTGCCATCACAAATCTGGCAATCAGTTATTCGGTTCCTTCAGTTATTCAGCACTAGTTTTGGCTAGCATAATTTCAAATTTCCAGGGTCGCCACATCAACCTGCTGGTACTGTTTGGTGGTGCTACTTGCTGCATAAGTAACTCCAATTTCTTTTTCTCCATTTATTGTTATAACCTGCTTGCTTTTAGGCCTAGTCACGGTTCCAATGAATAAAAGAAATGTTTCTCATTACGTAGAGCACTGACAGTACATTGTCCATTAAAGATAAGGTGGCTTTGAAGCCACTGTTGGTTGTCATGAGCTCAGTCTCATGATGCAGGAGAATATGCTTTACTATTATGCTAATATCAACACTACAGCTTATTTGCCTATCACAATTGATCTAATATGACTTATTTTATTTTATTATTATTTTATTATTATTATTTTTTATTTTATTTTTATTTTATTTATTTTATTATTTTATTTTTATTTTAATATTTTATTTTATTTCATTATTTTATTTTATTTTATTTTTTATTTTATTTTTTATTTTTTATTTTATTATTTTATTATTTTATTATCATTTCATTATCATTTTTCATTGTTTCTTCATTTTTTTTTTTGTTCATTATTTTTTTTCATTTTTTTCTTTTTTTTTTCCCCATTTCATTTTTTTTTCATATTTTTTTCACTTCATTTTTTTCATTTCATTTTTTTTTTTTTCATTTTTTTTTCATTTTTTTTTTTTTTCATTTTTTTTTTTTCATTTTTTTTCAACACTGGCCGATTCCCACCAAGGCAGGGTGGCCCGAAAAAGAAAAACTTTCACCATTCACTCCATCACTGTCTTGCCAGAATGGTGCTTTACACTACAGTTTTTAAACAGCAACATTAACACTCCTCCTTCAGAGTGCAGGCACTGTACTTCCCATCTCCAGGACTCAAGTCCGGCCTGCCGGTTTCCCTGAATCCCTTCATAAATGTTACTTTGCTCACGCTCCAACAGCACGTCAAGTACTAAAAACCATTTGTCTCCATTCACTCCTATCAAACATGCTCACGCATGCCTGCTGGAAGTCCAAGCCCCTCGCACACAAAATCTTTACCCCCTCCCTCCAACCTTTCCTAGGCCGACCCCTACCCCGCCTTCCTTCCACTACAGACTGATCCACTCTTGAAGTCATTCTGTTTCGCTCCATTCTCTCTACATGTCCGAACCACCTCAACCCTTCCTCAGCCCTCTGGACAACAGTTTTGGTAATTCTGCACCTCCTAACTTCCAAATTACGAATTCTCTGCATTATATTCACACCACACATAGCCCTCAGACATGACATCTCCACTGCCTCCAGCCTTCTCCTCGCTGCAACATTCATCACCCATGCTTCACACCCATATAAGAGCATTGGTAAAACTATACTCTCATACATTCCCCTCTTTGCTTCCAAGGACCAAGTTCTTTGTCTCCACAGACTCCTAAGTGCACCGCTCACCCTTTTCCCCTCATCATTTCTATGACTCGCCTCATCTTTCATAGACCCAACCGCTGACACGTCCACTCCCAAATATCTGAATACATTCGCCTCCTCCATACACTCCCTCGAATCTGATATCCAATCTTTCATCACCTAATCTTTTTATCCTCATAACCTTACTCTTTCCTGTATTCACTTTTAATTTTCTTTTGCATACCCTACCAAATTCATCCACCAACCTCTGCAACTTCTCTTCAGAATCTCCCAAGAGTACAGTGTCATCAGCAAAGAGCAACTGTGACAACTCCCACTTTGTGTGATTCTTTTAACTCCACGCCTCTTGCCAAGACCCTCGCATTTACTTCTCTTACAACCCCATCTATAAATATATTAACCCTTTGAGGGTCGACAGGCCCTCTCCGAAACTTGTTCTCAGGGTCGGCCAAATTTAAAAAAAAAAAAAAAAATTCTCTTATGAAAAGATAGAGAATCTTTTCCCGATCATAAGGACACCAAAAGTTTGAAATTTGATGGAAAACTTACGGAATTATGCTCTCGCGAAGTTAGCGGTCTCTGGGATATTTACGCATCGGCGATTTTGCCCACTTTGAGCCCCATTTTCGGCCAATTCCACTGTACTAGTCGACAAAAAACATGAATATTTCGCTAGAACTCCATTTTTTCTATCGAATGGGTGCAAGAAACCACCCATTTATGAAATTCAACTATCCAGTACAGTGGTCAGAATTTAGCAATTTTGCCAATTTCATACAAATTTCAAAAGATGCCAATTTCCGAATAGGGTCCAGAATAAACAAGAAAGACATTCCTGGCACTAAAATGACATTTCCTCTGGTCATTAGTCACGTCTCAAGGCCCCTCTTATATTCTTTTGCTTTTCACTTTGAATTTTTATTCTCACAAAAATATAAGATTTACTGTTATGCAGACGACTGCATTAATGTTAAAAATGGTATAAATATTATTGGCGCAATTGTGAAAAATTATTAGACTCGCCAGTTGACGTGTATTGGACCATTGGCAAGATTTGTTTACTTTTGAAATTTGGTAAAAATCGAACATTTCTGCTACTTTGAGCTCAATTTCAAGGTATCTTTCATTGTAAAACCAGTCAAAATCATCTCAATTTCTGTAATATGTCTTCCATTCTATAAAATGAGACCAAGAAAACTAGAATACAACAATAAATACCATACGAAAATACAGTGCAAAGCCGCTGTTTTATTCCAAAAAAACGGTCAGTTTTTTTTGTCATTATGCACTGTGTGCTGCAGGATTTTTTTTAGACTGTGCACACTGACCACATAGACCCATTCTTTCATATGTATGCCTACCAGCTTTCTCCCACTAGATTTGAGGGCGCTAGAATTTAGGCGTACTAGTACGTCAAAAACCCTGGGTCGTAAGCCGTACTAGTACGTCCGAAACCCTCAAAGGGTTAAACAACCACGGTGACATCACACACCCTTGTCTAAGGCCTACTTTTACTGGGAAATAATCTCCCTCTTTCCTACATACTCTAACTTGAGCCTCACTATCCTCATAAAAACTCTTCACTGCTTTCAGTAACCTACCTCCTACACCATACACCTGCAACATCTGCCACTGCCCCCCATCCACCCTGTCATACGCCTTTTCCAAATCCATAAATGCCACAAAAACCTCTAGCCTTATCTAAATACTGTTCACTTACGTTTCACTGTAAACACCTGGTCCACACACCCCCTACCTTTCCTAAAGCCTCCTTGTTCATCTGCTATCCTATTCTCCGTCTTACTCTTAATTCTTTCAATAATAACTCTACCATACGCTTTACCAGGTATACTCAACAGACTTATTCCCCTATAATTTTTGCACTCTCTTTTGTCCCCTTTGCCTTTATACAAAGGAACTATGCATGCTCTCTGCCAATCCCTAGGTACCTTACCCTCTTCCATACATTTATTAAATAATTGCACCAACCACTCCAAAACTATATCCCCACCTGCTTTTAACATTTCTATCTTTATCCCATCAATCCCGGCTGCCTTACCCCCTTTCATTTTACCTACTGCCTCACGAACTTCCCCCACACTCACAACTGGCTCTTCCTCACTCCTACAAGATGTTATTCCTCCTTGCCCTATACACGAAATCACAGCTTCCCTATCATCAACATTTAACAATTCCTCAAAATATTCCCTCTATCTTTCCAATACATA